ATCTTTTAAAGAAATTAGTTTTCAATCTAGATTTAAAAGTGCATAGCTCCACTAGCTTCCTAATGTCAAAAGGAAGAGCGTTGCAGACAGCCGCAGAAGCACATCTGAAAGTGCGTGATGCAGTGGCCATATTTGTTCAATGGCTATCCAAAAGTGTATTCTAGATTTAAAGCTTTCGTGACTGCTAGGATCCATACTCTTTGGTTATATTGGGTAAAGTCACAGAAACAACCACTTGATACTTCGGTCAAAACCATCACACTTCCATATATAGCAGGCGTTACTAAAAAGATTTCCAAAATTCTAAACAAACACAAGATACAGGTCCGGTTCAATACAGTACACAAAATTCGTGATCTGATCCCATCCGTGAAGGATGTCATTCCTGATTTACAGTACCCCGGGGTTTACAAATTGAGTTGTACCTGCGGTGATTGCTATATCGGTGAGACAAAGCGACATGTCTCTCACCGAATTTGCGAGCACAAATCAGATTTGAAACACGGCAAAACGAATTCTTCTGCCGTGGCTGATCACTGTTACAACGCTGTGGGGGATCACGATATAATTTTCTCCGATACCAAGGTTCTTTGCAAACCCACGGGCTTTTATCAGAGATTTGTTCATGAAGCAATTCAGATCTACAAACACAGACACAATTTCAACCGAGAGGATGGTTTCAAATTAAGCAACCATTGGAAAGATGTTCTAAATCGAACTAAACATTAAACTAATTTCAATGGTACAGTATATTTTTCAAGTAGTGGTACCCCAAACTTTCACAGCTCTTATAAATTCCCTTTTCACACCATCAATAGGTAAACTCCTCCTCCCCCCCTTCCCCCCCGCGCCAAACGGCAAGTCCACCGGCATGTATACCACCTCTTCCCTAAAATCCGCCAATCAAATGCTATTTTTTATGCTAATTTCTTTGTCAGAACACCTTGTTTGCTCGCACACAGTTTAAAGGTCCGCTGTCTGAGCGTGGTTGTGTTTCGCTAAATTCTCCTGTTTGATGAGTACTAGGTGCCTCGGTGAATGTATATGCTCTAACTTTAACATAGCTATTTCTGTGACCAGTTACAAGCTAATCACTCAGCTATTTCAATGCTAAATTCTATGCTAATTCCTTTGTCAAGGGTTACCTCTGCGGATGTGTATACTTTAACTTAGCTATTTCAATGAGCCATTTCAATGCTAAATTATATGCTAATTCCTTGTCAAGGCGCTTGGTGTTTTTCTTCTCACACAGCTTAAAGGTCGTGATCTGAGCGTGGCTTCTTCCACTCCAGCGCTGTCCTCCAAACAGTCTCGTCCCTTCACCTGATGAAGGCCGCTTGTGTTGTGGCCGAAACGTCGTGATTTTTTTTGTTATTTTATTTTCACCTACGTGACTTTACCCAATAGAACCAAAGAGTATCCAAAAGTGTATTGTAGAGTGTATTGTATAGTGCAGTGCAGTGTATCATATCATGTCGCGTCTTTTGTGTATCATGTAGTGTATAGGAGTGTATGTGTAGAGTAGGAGTTAGTGACGTCATGTCACGCTCGCCCTCTGGTACGATGACATCACGGATGGTGACGTCATGCACAGGGGGCGGGACGGTGACGTCATGTCCCCCTGGGGGATTTAAGCTGGAACCCGTCACGGGTTCAGGGTTGTCTGGAGGGTCCGGGAACGTGAAGGGTGAAAGTCGGGACCCAGGGTAGGGGGAAATTGGCACCAGGCTAGGGTAGCCTGTGGGTGCTAGGGACCTCCCCAGTATCCTTCCCCTGGGGGAGCGATGGGACCCCGGGGTAGGGGGAAATTGGCACCAGGCTTGCGTAGCCTGCGGGTGCTTGGGAATCCCCAGTACCTTTCCCCTGGGGTGTGGAGTGTAGACAGTGAGTGTGCAGTAACGGAGCTGTGTGCAAAGAGAGGTCTTTATTAAAACAACTGGCGTGAGCCCTTAATAAACGTGGCGCAAGCCCTTACACGAAGATCTGTCTCCGAGTCATCAGTTATGCCTCAACATATGTAACGCGTAGGCTTTCGCAACCAATATTATCCATAATAGAGTTTTTTTGGGTTGGATTGCATAAATATGATTCGTTAAACCCACCCCCACCCAACAGTCAATTCGTAATGTTTGTCACGTAAACAAAACATGCCAATTCGTGACTAGTTCAGCACACCCGTGTGTTGGAGAGTAAACCCACTACAACATTTACAATTTGAGTACCATGATGTTTTACCGGTAATTACAACTAGCCTCATCAGGGGACAGTCAGAGTTGTGAAGAAATCCTGCTGTTTTGGTCGTAAATAAGAGGGATAAATATGATGTTGTCACTTGTGAGCCAATCAGGTGCAAAGACCAAAGGGGGTGGGGGGGCGGGTAATGTATTCATTTAAATAAAAAATGGATATCTATTATTGGTTGGGTTTTAACAGTAAATCAACATACATAATGTATGTACATCATACGTGGACATTATGTGTACGTGTATTTTTCAGTCCAAAAAAAGCACACTTCCCATTATTGGCTGCTCACAGTTGATCACCATCGATGTATGGTGACCAGTATAAGCATGCAGATAAACAGTGTATTATTTGACAGTATACTTCGAAGCAGTTGTAAGCCTGTACCTAGCAGAATGGTAAAAAATATGTTAATTTCTTTGAACTAAAAATTAACAAATTTAAAACAAACGTGACTAACATTGAATTAACCAAGCATATGATATTAGTCCTATCTAAAGGTCTTAACTGTTTCCCCACGTACAATCCCTGTCGATGAGATACTTTCTAGTTAGACATCTCCATATAATAAAGCTGAGATGACTAGGCACGAAGTTGGCAAAATTATTGAGAACAGTAAATTGTCAAAAACAAATATTAGTCTCAGTGAGGCAAAGCCTTAAGAGAATTGAGAGCAAATACAGACATTCAAATTCTTGCTGGGGATTATGATAATAAAAATCAGAGATTAATGGATGAAGGTACCTACCTTAAGATTAAACAAGTCCAAAGCAATACCTTGGAACTTAAGACTACTGCAATTATTGCCACGTCCTAAATTCCTAAAGAAGAGCAATACATGATCAAACCAAGGGCATCAAAACCACCATGACTTATGGGTTGCCAAAGATTAAAAAACCTTATGTCCCATTAAGACCCATAGTACAATAGGCTCTGACACATGCAAATTAGCACAATACGTAACAAAGCAATTACAGCCCTACTTCAACAGGACCTCTCATTGATCAAAAACTCAGAACACCTTGAAAATATGATTAAATGTATTCAGCTTAACCCTAAGGATAGTTTGGTAAATTTAGCTGTGACTTCTCTGTTGTCAACGGTTCCGGTAAACATGTCAATTAAACTACTCAATACTCCTGTGACTTACACATGTTTACCCAAAGATATCCCATGATTACCTGAGCACTGTCTAAAGAACACTTATTTCTTGTGCGAAGGTGATTTCTATAAACAAAAGAAACGAGCAGCAAAGGGCACACCTTTGTCTCCTGAAATTGTGAATCTGTACATGGGAGACTTGGAAGCAAAAGCACTAGCTTCAACGACACTAAAACCCTCTTTGGTTTAGATATGTGGATGACACATTGGTGGTTTGGCCATACAGTAAAGATACGCTTAATTTATACATCATCTTAACTCGCATAACCCTTCTATCTAGTTCACCATGGAAGTGGAGGTTGATAAAAAAAAATGCACACTACGCCTATTTTGAATGCGGTCACACCATCATCCCGCACAGAGATCCTCTTTAATCAAGACGCTCGTACATCGGGCTAAGCAAGTGTCAAATGGTAATGGTCTGAGGAGTGAAATTTAACATGTTAAATAAGTCCTGCATTTGAATGGTTACAAATCAACAGGGCACTGAATGCCAAAACCAAATCAAATAGCACAAATGTAGAAATTGATCAAGCAATTAAGCTATTAAAATACCAATTCTAGATTTAAAGCTTTCGTGACTGCTAGGATCCATACTCTTTGGTTCTATTGGGTAAAGTCACATAGGTAAAAAATAAAATAACAAAAAATCACGACGTTTCGGCCACAACACAAGCGGCAAATGCTATGTTGGTCAGACGGGACGAATTAATTGTCAACAACAGACTAAAATAACATCAAATGCATATTAAATACTCCCAATCGCAACTGTCGGCTGTGGCAGAACACACGTGCCAACATAGACACTCAATTGATTTTGATAATTTTGAGGTTTTGTGCAAAACTAGCTACTCCTGGCCAAGACTAATTTGAGAATCTATTGAATTGAGAGTAAAATTATTCTAACTGTTCTCATAGCTACAAACTTATTGCTGATTGGAAGCATATCAAATAGACACTGTTTTTGCTGCATGCCTATACAGGTCACCATACATCGATGGTGATTAACTTGAGCAACCAGTAACAGGTATTGCTTTTTATTTTACCCTAAAACGGCAGAATGTACATACACAATGTATATACATAATATACATGCATAACGTGCATGCATAATGTACGTTGATTACAATATTAATAACCCGACCAATTTATATGAAGACATTAACCCACCACCCCCTCTGGTCTTCGCACCTGATTGGCTCAATCAGGCTGTCACCTCATGATTCCGGTTGTAATTACTGGTGGAACGTCCTACTCAGATTGTAAATTGTGTGTTTGCTCTCTAACACACCAGTGTGGTGTACTAGTACAGAATTAGCATGTTCTGTTTAGTGACAAACTTTACTAATTGGCTGTGTCAGGTAGTGGCGGGTTTAACAACACATTTATAATTACGCGATCTAACCCAAAAAAAACCTGTTATGGATATAGTAGTGCAGTGTATAGTAGTGTAGTGTATATAGCATTTGAAAGCACACCATGTACATTGACCGTCTTTGTTCAATGAAAACCAAAAAGCCACTGCTGACAGCTGCTGTTGAATGCAGGACTCTGTTGCTGTGGTTCCCTGTCTCTCTCCCCCCCCCGCCCCTCATTAGCCATGGAGCCTGAGGCGTCAGTTAAACTGGAGGACGAGGGACGCCACGTGGCGTGGAAACCTGGCTGGCTTGAAGCTGGAGGTCGAAGGTAGTGGTTGGAGGCTTCCGGTGGGCCTGGGGCCATGCTAGTCACCCGTCTCTTGCTGTAGTTCTTCTCCTAGCAAGCAGCATCACCTGTACAAAATTCTCTGGCATGTGTCATGATGGGTACTACAAGAAAGCTGACCGTCTCCGTCCGGTGCTCGCTGAGCTGCATTGACTTGTGGTTGCAGAACGAATACATGATAAGGTCGCGCTTATTAGACAAGTGTTTGCCACAAATGAACCACAATATCTTGCTGATCTCATCAAGGGGCATAAACCATCACGTGAACTCTGGTCATCCTTGCAGCAACCTTTGGCTGGCCATCAAACAAAGATGATCACCGCATTGCGCGCTTTCAAATGTACTTCTGCAGCCGTCTGGAATGCTCCTCCTTCCGATGTTAGGAAGTTACTGGAGCTGTGCACTTTTAAATCATCATCTATATTGAAAACTCAATCTAGATGTGCCTCCGTGTAGCTTCACACATTGGGATGCTGCTGGATCCTTCTGGATGCCACCCACGCGCCTCAGTCTTTGTTCAGCCTGCATAGGCATCTCATGTTATCGTGGACTGTGCTTTAGCCTATAATATATTTAATATGAAGCAATAAAGTCACCTAGTTAGAAATAAAATAAAACAAATCACGACGTTTCGATCGCAACACAAGCGACCTTCATCAGGTGGCACCGATACAGCAGGACAACCGCTGACACAGGAGAAAGAGCTGCTGACAACAAGAGTTTATAAAGTGTTGTGGGCCCAACCCCAAGGGTAAGTGGGTGGAGCTAGACAAGGAAGGAGGGGGGGGGGGGTGAAAGGGGGGTGGGCGCAGGTGATCGGTGGCAGGCAGAGAGAAGCTGTACCTCGAAGGCAGAGAGAAGCTGTGCCTGTGGGGCCGATGTGAGAAATTAGCATGTAAATGTAAATTAGCATGTAAACAGGATGAGGATGGGGAAGGTCGCTGTTATACTTCCATCCTGCCTGCCGTTTTGTAATTTCTCACATTAACAGGGCACAGCTTCTCTCTGCCTTCCACCGATCACCTGCGCCCACCCCCCTCTCACCCTCCCCCCACCCCCTCTCACCCTCCCCCCCTTGCCACCCTCCCTTTCTTCCTTCTCTAGCTCCGCCCACTCACCCTTGGGTTGGGCCCACTACAACCCTTTATAAACTCTTGTTTGTCAGCAGCTCTTTCTCCTGTGTCAGCGGTTGTCCTGCTGTATCGGTGCCACCTGATAAAGGTCGCTTGTGTTGCAATCGAAACGTCGTGATTTGTTTTATTTTATTTCTAACTACGTGACTTTACCGAAATAACCAAAGAGGATGAATTCCTGCAGTCACGAAAGCTTCAAATCAAATATTAATATAAAGCGATTTTTGCATAATGCGGTATTCTTCAGGAACACAACTACTACTTTATAGGAGAACACACTGCGCACATGTTCGCGTGTGCAATGGGAGTGAGTTTCAGACGGCTGTGAAGCCACAGAGAAACGCCGCTTAGCCAGTGCGGTCCTGGTTCTGGGCTCGAGCCAATTGGTAGATTAATATGGCTTCGTAGGATGTGGCGATTGTGCTGGGGTCAGTAGAGTACGGCTGATGTAGATGCAGAACAACAATTACAATTTCACATTCCAGCTGCCGAGACAGGCAACCGCGTCAGGAGCAGCGGAGTGTATCGCTGTGTTGTCTCCTTCGTATTTGTGGATCAGAGGTCTCTCTGTGTGACGCATGCCTCTGTGTCTGCGTGACTCGTGCCTCCGTGTCTGCATGACGCGTGTCTGTGTGATGCGTGCCTCCATGTTGCCAGCTCTGGTTGTCGGAGCGGATGATTGGAAACCGGAGATCGGTGACATTAGAGTGAAGATCGAACCGGACGATGGTGAGACATCCACCGCAACCATCACAACTACCACAACCACCATCACAACTACTACAACCACAATCACAATCACCGCAACCAAAAGACAAAGATCCCCTGTCTAGCCTTAATAGATTGTTTGGGCAAGTGCTCTTGGCGAGCACGTATGAAGGCTGGCACGGTACACGAGGGGGTGGGTGGCCAGCACCACGCCCGACCGCCTTTGTCTCCCTAGTGGCAATGTTTTCACACAGTGCCAGGTACTCATTTGAGGCTGAGTCGACCTAGGGGAGGCTCAGGACCCATTTATATAATCTTCACCGGTTTGGCCATGAGCGGGAATCACACTCGAGTTGCCAGGTTCGTAGCACAGCGCGCTAACCACTGCGCCACCGCTCCCCACTCGGCCGCCACCACAACCACCACCACCACCACCTCTACAACCACACCACTACAACTACCACAACCACCACCACAACAACCACCACCACTACAACTACTACCACAAACACCACCACAACGTATGTATATTGAAATTATTTTGCACCATACATAACCACCACTACAACCTCTACAACTATCACCACAACTACCACCACCGGAAAACAATTGTGAGATGTGAGACGCTGTGTGTTACATGTGCCGCCATGTCTGAGTGACACATGCACCGTGTCTTTGTGACGCGTGCCTTTGTGTCTGTGTGACGGCCTTCCTCTGTGTCTGTGTGATGCATGCCTCCATATCTGTGTGATGGCCCAACTCCGTGTTGCCAGTGCCGGTTCTCAGAGCGGGTGACTTGAAGCAGGAGGTCGACGACATCAGAGTGAAGATCGAACCGGACGATGGTGAGATGGCCACCACAACCTCCACAGCCACCGCAACATCACCACGACACTTATGCCAGGCTAGGTGCACTCTGACGCCATGTGAAGTGTCAAAGGCTCGCTGACAGGAGGTCACGGGACAGACCCAGGTGCCATGGGTTGACTGACTGAGATGACTGGCTGATGCACCAGCTGTACCCCCTACTGTGACAACTTGCTTCGTTTTAACTGCCAGGCACTCCGCTCGTTGTTTTGAGCGTCGCTCCTCCGCCCTCTATTATTGCTGAAGGGCGACTGCCTCCAACTGTCCAATAGCATCCTTCACGAGCCTCCTCCACAGAGGCCGATTTTGACACTGCTGGTACCACTCATTGACATCCTTCTGGACCCCATTGGTCCATCTCATCTCTTGCCCATGCCACGCCATTTCGCCTCATTTGTCCGGCCAAACAGAAAATTATTGGGCATGCGGTGTTGGCTGGGCATGTGGGCTACATGACCCAGCTAATGCCAGCTTTCCTGCCGGAGGACCTCACTGATGGGACTGTGTCCAGATCTTTCAAGGATCTGTGAGCTCCTCGCACAATCCAGTTTGGTTAAACCCTGGACCTTAGGCAGGCTAGCCTGAATGTTTCAAACGGTTGTTCCTTTAAGAGGGGACTGCGTCTCACAAGCATAGAGAAGGGAGGGCATAACAGTAGCCGAGAAGACCGGAAGCTTTGTGCAGAGACGCTGCTGCTGAACCTGGAGTGTGCCACTAAGAGGTGAGGTATTACCATCAGTCCCATTAAAACTAAACACCTGCTTGAGTATTTTGTGCCATCAAACGCTCCACCCCCTCAGCTCCCCATTGGTGACGGAGCAGTTGTGGGGAAAGTGGAGCGTTTCCCATACCTGGGCAGTGTGCTTATGAACAGCTCTGGTTTGATAGCAGAGATCTCACTCCAAATCAGTCGGGTGGCATTATCTTTTCAACGGCTGCGTAATGCTGTGTGGAAGTTACCTGGTCTGTCAGTCCCCACTACACTAAAACTATTACAATCACCACAACCACCACCACCACAACCAGCCATGTGAGGACGAGGAGCCGTGAGAGAGGCGGGTTTCTGTGTCTCACTGTCAGGCAGGGAGGGTGAGGAGGGACGCTGGGCCTTCGCTCAGCCCTGCGCACAGCGGCTGGAGGTAGAGGTGATGATGGATGACCCCTTGAATGGTGAGAGTCTTGCTCACACCCCCATCCTCCTTCCCCCTCTTCTCTTCTCAATGTCTCACTGCTCCCTCCGTCTTCACATGCACAATCTCGGTGGTCCTTTTTAAGTTTAACTTTTTTTAAGTTCACGCTTATTCACCCAGGAATGCATTGGCGAGTCCCAAGATTATTTTTCAGTTGGCTGCAATTTTGCTGCTCGCGTGCGTAATTCCCAATGGGAGGTTTTGGTCAACACCAGTTACGTTGTGAGCACAAGCGTTTAATTGTAGAGAGGAGGGACTCCAGAGGAAACGCATGCGCTCCACTCGAGAACTCTATTTTACAACTAGATAATTTTTTTTTACCAGGTAAGGCCCCACTGAGCTATATAATAATATTAACCTCTTATACAAAGCGCCTTCCATATTGAATTATCTGAAAGCGCTTTTCGTAAAAATAAAACTACACTCACAAATATAGATACAATCTAAGCAAAATAGAAAGCTGATAACAATATCAATGACTACTCTCAAATTGTAATAAAATAAAGAACTATAATAAAAGTGAATAATAATTTAAAAGTTATCCAATCGGTTCTTTTTCAAAGTGACCTGCCCACAAATGATAGCTCAACCAAGTGGCTTATCAACGTTTAAATTTATAGCAGCCAAATACTCCAAATGCATGTTGATATTGATTCTAAATGAGGAGGGAAAAAGCGGAGGACCCGGAGAAAAACCCACGCAACCACGAGGAGAGAGAGAGACACGCAAACTCCAAATATCCAGCAGCAGGCAGCACCTGGGTCGGGATCGAACCCACGATCTTCTGCGTAACAGGCGAGGATGTTAACATATAGCCACCGCAGCTCGAGTAACTTCACAGGAGTCTGATTGTTAAGCTGACGATGCCACATCAAATTGTACGGTCAAATCGCATTAAAGCATTGGCCAGGGCGACTCGCAGGACAGTAACCGTGAAGCTCGTGCTCCACTGCTCTCCAGTGAATGGGTAGTACCACCCTCTGTGTTCACTGGGAAACTTGTCGGGGGCAGAAACGTACCCACGTAGGCCGTCGTGACCAATGTTATCCACCATGAAGGGTTTTTTTTGGGTTAGATCGCGTAAATGTTAACGTGTCGTTAAACATGCCACCCATCGACAGCCGATTCTGGCTAATCACCTGACGAAGCTGGTTGTTGTAATCTGTCGAAACATCACGGTACTCAAATTCTAAATGTTGTAGTGGGTTTACTCTCTAACACAACCAGTGTGTACTAAAGTAGTCACTAATTTGCACGTTTTGTTTACGTGACAAACCTCACTGATTTGTTGTGTCTGGTGGTGGTGGTAGTGGGTTTAACGGCAACATTTATATTCACGTAATCTAACCCAATACAAAAAAAACCTTTTATTGTGCAGAGATGTCCCCATTGCAGGCTGCACAGACTCCAGCGCCGAGGCATCGTTGGCTTTCATAAGCCCCCTGCTGCCGCTCCCTCTGGGGGTTCGCAGGAAGTGGCGTTAAGCCTCTCCCACGCATGTTTGTATTTATGTGTAGTGTCATTGCTGGCTGTTGGACAGCAGCGGAAACTGTGGTGGACAGACAGTACACACGCCGGTGAGGGTGTGCATGGTGTGTGTTGGCAAAGAGGAAGAACTAGGGTAAGGGTCGCAGTGGACCCCATCTGGAGGCCCCTGGAACCTGCTAGCGGGTTCAAGAAGGGAGGCGCGGTCAGGGCAGAGTCAGGCCATGCTGGTAGCATAAAAGGAGCCGAGAGCAGGAGCTCGAGTCTTCCGGTTTTGGGAATGGACTCATCTCGTCGTTGCTGTCGTCTCGTCGCCGTCGTTACTAAACGTGTCCGCTATATATTGTGCTACGAAGGATAGTAGTAGTTGGCTACTATCCAGTCAGCGCCGTCAGTGTTAGACGGCTAGTGTAATGTACAAGCTTGGCTGAGCTACTGTGGAGAGTGTGTGGACGAGACCGTGAAAGTTTTTAATAAAGAAAGTGCCTCATAGAAACTGTCTCTGAATCGTTGCCACTGCATATGTAATGTATGTTTGTATGTTTTTACGTATGTATGTTTATTTGTATGTATGTTTGTTGTCTAACTGGTGTGAACCTGCCAGTTAGACTCAGTTACTCTATTGTGGGATGGAAAAAGTGAAGAGCGAAATTTGATATTTTCTTTATTGTTTACTTCCATGCTAAATTACTTTATATGCTCGTGTTATAAAGTTATGAATTTGCAAGCTACGCGTATGTTAATCATGAATCTCCTTTCAAAACTGCAATCACCTCTCTACTGGACCGCTTACCCTGCACATGTCACATTGCTCTATAGCTACGTGGGCTGACGTCCAATCTCATAATATGAACGTGCATGCGTATGCAATCAATTATGTATTTTCATTGTGCATTTGGTGCTCTTGCTGTGTGAAAGTCACATATAACACTTCGCTAAATCTCTCTGCTAACTCTCCTTCCTCCTCCATTCCCTCTCTGCTCTGCTGTCCCGGCGGCTGCAGCAGGTGCACACGACGTGAAGGTCGAGCGTGACTGTGAAGCGAGCATGGACACAAGGACATTTGTGGACGTGGAGGTGGTGGTGGATTACATCGGCCGCTGCGGTGAGTTTGGGCATTCGTTGTTGGGTTCAGAGTGGCGGACGTCACAGAGATTCACAGCGTGGATCTGAAGTCTAAAGTGAGATCTGGCACTCATTACACACAAAGTTCCTGCCACAAATGAACCACAATATATTTTTTATCTCATCAAGGAGCATAAACCATCGAACAAAGACAATTACCGCATCATGTGCTTGCAGATGCACTTATTTGGCTTTAACCGCGGCGGGTGTACAAACTAACAATGGCGACCAACCTGTATTCATATGCACTGTGGCCTCTTAATTTCCACTACCTTGATGGGACCCCGCCATGGCTGGTGTAATTTAGGGGACGTGCCGAGTGGTACCTGCGGGCAATGCCTACCTTCTGACTGAATTCCCTTTTGACGCGTCCCACGCCTCCGTCAATCGCTTAAGCGTAACCTGCATGAGTGTGGGCATGCTGGCCTTCCTTTTTCTTGAGATACAACGGGGAGAATCCCGTCGGCATGTTGGGCCATCCTGTATGCAACCAGGACACGGGGGATGCGTAAATTCCAGTCTGACTGCGCGTCGTTGACCACCTGGCACAGCATTCATGTTAGGGTCCTGGGCAGGCGTTCTACCATCCCATCTGTCTGAGGATGTTAGGGCGATGTCCTAATCTTCTTTCTGCAGAGGGAGTCGCATACCTCCCATAATAAATTCTATGGAGCGAACCTCGGGACAAACCGGCGATAATACAACACAAACCTGACAAAGCTGCGCACCTCACTCACCAACTTGGGGGTTGGCCATTTACGCACGCACGCCATTTTGTCGGGGTCAATGGCTATCCCGTATGCACTAACAATATGGCCCAATACCGCACAGATGTTTGCAAGAGGTGGCACTTATGCGGTTTGAATTTAAGATTGGCCGCCCACACTCTGACAAACACCGACCGTAATTGCAGCAAGTGCTCTTTGAACGTGCATCCGAACACGATGACATTGCCCAGATAAATGAGGCACGAATCCCATTGCAGACCTGCCAAGACCAATTCCATCAGTCGTTGAAACGTGGTTGGAGCCGAATGCAGCCCCATGGAGAGGCAGTTACATTGCAACAACCCTTGGGGCGTCTGGAATGCGGTGTTAGTTTTGGATTCCTCGTCTAGGGGCTGTTTCCAGAACCCTTATAACAAATCGACTGTCGAGAATAACCGGGCACCAGACAACGCATCTAGGGAATTGTTCAGCCGAGGGAGTGGATATGCGTCTGCCTCAGATATTTTATTCAGATTCCGGAAAACTAAGCAAAAGCGTATGCTCCCGTCCCGCTTTTTAACCAATACAATGGGAGTCTCCCATGGGCTGGTAGAGGGAGAGATAATGTCCGCAGCCAACATCTCGTCAATTGCCTGTCGGACACGGTCCTTCTATTTGGGGCTCATCCTATATTAATTCTGTCTTATTGGGGCTGCAATAACGAAGTGCGGCCAATGTCAAATTTCCCCTGGCTAAAAACATCCGCAAACTTCTGCAATAGAGCACACAACTCTTCCCGTTGTTCTTGGGTCAAATCGTAATTTTCGGAGCACAATTTGTGAATCCATGTCTCATCCAACTCGCCTTCCCGTTACACCCTGAAAATGACCTCCTGCAGCTGTGTCGGTCTCCTCGCAACGTGCAGCAGTTGCATGGGCCAAGACTGTGCTGGCTTGGACCACAGCTGCCCCCAGCCCAGCATTTAGCACCTCTAAAAAGGGCTCTTATTCCGTTCTGAAGATGGTACCCCCTCCTCTGGATTTGCCAATTCCAGATGCTTCCTGAGCCGTAAGGGCACCAGCATCTGTGCGCCTGGCGGGATCGTAACAAATTCCTTCGCCAGGACCTGGACCGTGGCGTTAGCCACTGCCAGCTTTGTAGGGGATTGCAGAAAGGCCAATCGCTGTCTCAACGCACCTTGGTCAATAAGGATTTTGAGGGGCATCCACCCTAAACAATCGGTGCCCAGAAGATAAGGCACAGCCAAGGACTTGGAGACCAACACCAGCCCGGTTTACTCCATTTCCCCTATCTGGACTCTCGCCACTATCTTTCCCACAATCCCCAAACTTCCACCGTTGACAGCAACACAAGCTCTCGTGACCGGCTGAGATAATGGGTTCCCGGCTGCAACAAATTGTAAATGAGCTCGGAAATTATGGTAGCCGAAGCTCCGGTATCGACCAGAGCCTGTCCACACGCCGCGAGTAGATGAAGAATGACGATGGCTGAACCGGAGGACGTCGAAGGCGAAGCCACTGCTCCGGTGCTGTTCCGGCACCCTTTGGCGATGTGGCCCGACTGGCTGCACTTGTAGCAGGTGGGAGCAGATCTGCAGGCCGGAGGAGGGTCCCGCTCTTGCCTACGCCTCTCCGGCTGCCGTCCCTTGGACAACTCTCCCGCGTGGGCCCCGGCTGAATGAAGCCTAGGCCTTGATTTGAAGCTTTCGTGACTGCAGGAATCCATACTATTTGGTTCTTTCGGTAAAGTCACGTAGGTAGAAAAATTATAAAATAAAATAAAAAATAATATATCACGACGTTTCGATCGAGACACAAAGCCCATCACACAGCCAGAACCATCGATGTATCGATGGTTCTGGCTGTGCGATGGGCTTTGTGTCTCACTGGCGCGGTGGTTCTCTTGCGTGGATGCGCTTTCCTCACAGCGCAGTTGGCAACGCCGCAACTTGTATTACACATAGACATTGCATTAACTTGCTAATTTCCCTGCCTAATCGCCCCCATCAACATAGTGCTAATCTCCCATTAAAACTGCTGTTGTGCGCATATGCGGGAGCGAACTTATACAGAAACGGAAGCTCATTTCATGCTAATCTCTCTCCCTAATCTCCCCCATTAAGACAATTGACGTGCTTGCGTCCAGGGATTGAATTCCTTTCCAGCTCAGACCCCGCTTGCTTGCCCATCGCCACGTAAATAACCTCTTGTTGTAACAGCTCTCTCGCTGGTTCAGCAGTTCCACTGCTGGATATTTTCTTCTGCCCGAGGACGACCGCTTGTGTTGCGATCGAAATGTCGTGATATATTATTTTTTTTTATTTTATGATTTTTCTACCTATGTGACTTTACCAAAAGAATGAAAGAGTAAGCATAGACCTGTTCCAGCTCCCGCGGTGCAGCCCCCTCTGTTTCCTCGGGCTCCCCTGCGCACGCAGCCACCATGGGCCACTACTGCAGGTTAAGGTGCGCCTGAATACACCGGGTCACCTTCAGGGAAAATAAATCGTTCTCCGCGATGGAGAGGGCGACGCCCAACTATTGCGCCAGTGACGGCAACCTGTGCGCCTGGTTTATGTGCGGGTAAGTTGCTTGGCCCAAGGCCAGCAGCGCGCTGCCGAAGATGAGAGGCGTCTCGACCTTCCCCCTCCTCCGCAGCAAGAACCTTCTGCGCGCGTTGAACGGTGGGTCCAAAATGCCGGTCATTTGGGTTTTGGGCATACACCCGTAGAGTTCTTTCCGCCACCGAAATAGCCTTAGACGCCGCCAGGAAGTCGTAATCCAGGGCCGTCGGCAGAGCCCGCAACACCTCACCCCTCCAACCAGCCGACCGACAAGTATGCTGCTTCAAAACGACATTGAAACGCTGTCCAGTCGCCCCCCACCGCTACAAAATCGCGGACGGGAGGCAACCGCCTGTGCTGGAACAGCGCTTCCATGAGCGCCGCCGGGGGCAACTCGATTTTCTCGCCAACCGGCTCAGACAAAATGGCGGCCGCCATTTTGGAAACTCGAGCTCGGGCGCGGCGGCCGTAGGTGCTCAGGCCACTTGCAGTTCCTGCGCCGCGGCTCCTCTGGCGGGCGCAGCCGTGGCAAGCTGGACAACCAGCTGCGCAGCGGCGGACAGCAGCTGACCGAGACGCCCAGTGAGCACCTGCCAGCTTTCCTCGGCAGGCGGCTGTGAGGGACTGGAGCTGCTCCTGTTGCTCCGACGACACTACAGGTGGATTTTTCCTCTTCGCCTTTGACATGAAGACACTTCTGGCACCAAATGTAGTGACGCAGGCAGAGACGGTAGTAGTTGGAGGCACCTTTTATTCTTACACACGGTGGGGACCCTACGTGGGTGCACACTATATATATACTTTCAGACACACACAGCCGTCTATCATCGACTGTACTTAACTAGCTAGAACAGTTGGCAGGCTCTCTAGCTAGTAGCGGCGACGATGGTGTCGAGACAACAGCACGGCGAGATGTTTTATCCCCTGTATATACTGTCGTCCCTTGATGTGTATACTGCCGTACCTTGTAGTTAAATTTTTTAGACAGCAGCCAGCGCTAATTGCACTACACATGTATACAAAGTGCCCACCTTTAATCACCTGCCTCGCCCCCATCCCACTGTGTGCCCCTCCCCTTTGCATCCATGCCCCGGCCCCAGGAGGTGACGTGAAGGTGAAGCGCGATGAGGAAGAGGCAGCCGTGAGCACAAAGGCATGGATGGATGTTGGGGCGCCGGTGGATGACAATGGCCACGGTGGGTTTGGGCAGTCGTCGGTTGGGATCCAATCCAAATGGTGGGAGTCAGGTTTTAGATATGCATCCGAACGGGTGGCTTTCCTGTAGACAGTGTCCCATTGAGCCATCTGGTCTCCTTTCGATTAAAACATCCAAGACTGGTAGCTTGCCATCCTTTTCCACCTCCATGGTGAATTTGATGGCTGGGTGTATGGAATTGATGTGGTTGATGATGATCGCTTGTGTTGTGATCGAAACGTCGTAGTTTTTTTGTTGTTTTGTAGTTGTTTTCTTTGAACCTATCTACGTGACTTTACCGTAGGACCCAAAGAATAGACATATTGGTGGTCTGGCCACACGGCAAAGATACACTTAACAAATTTCTAAATCATCTCAACTCGCAAAACCCATCCATCCTGTTACCCATGGAAGTGGAAGCTGACAGAACTTATTTCTGGATCTTCTGCTCGGATGGGGTCGAAATGGTAAAAAAACACAGCATTTACCGAAAAAAAAGTATATTGACGCCTATCTGAATGCACAGAAATCTGCTCTTATCAAGACACTAATTCATCGAGCTAAGAAAGTGTCAGATGGTGACAGTCTGAGAAGTGGAATTCAACATGTTCAAGAATTGCTGCAAATAAACGGTTGCAATGATGCACAAATCAACAGGGCATTGAATGCCAAAACCAAATAAAATAACACAAGCATTGAAACTGCCCAAGTAATTAAAACAATCAAAATACTGTACATTGCGGGAGTAACTGATAAACTATCCAGATATTTGGAAAAAAGAAAACATCTAAGTCAGATTTGGCACGGTACATAAAATACAGAAATGTATATCTGGTACAAAAGATGTATTACCAAAGCTATCAACAGAAGGTGTCTACAGGATTTACTGTACTTGTGGCAAATGCTATGTTGGGCAAACAGGACGAATGATCAGCACGAGACTAAAAGAACATCACAGAAATATTGAATACTCCCAAATACAACTGTCAGCAGTAGCAGAACACGTGTGCCAACAAGGACACTTGATTTTGATCATGTTGAAGTTCTGTCCAAAACTAGCTACTACTGGCCAATACTAATTAGAGAATCTATCGAAATTGAAAGAAATAAAAAAATTGTTTTATCCATTCGGATTGCTACCGACTTAGTGCTGCGTGGAAGCGAATCATCAAATAATACATTGTTTAAATGCATACCTATACAGTCCACCATACTTCAATAGGGATTACCGTTGGTAGGGCTATTTTAATAAACATAATGGACAGGAAGGACAAGATCAAAGGGCTCGCATAATGCGCATCATGTACGTTGACTCATTAATCCTCTCCCCACTTTGCGCAAGTGCGCAGAAGTCACCGCATCTACGCCTCTATATACAGTGAGGGAAAAAAGTATTTGATCCCCTGCTGATTTTGTACGTTTGCTCACTGACAAAGAATTGATCAGTCTTTAATTTTTATGGTAGGTTTATTTGAACAGTGAGAGACAGAATAACAACAAGAATACCAGAAAAACACATGTCAAAAATGTTATAAATTGATTTGCATTTTAATGAGGGAAATAAGTATTTGACCCCTCTGCAAAACATGACTTAGTACTTGGTGGCAAAACTCTTGTTGGAAATCACAGAGGTCATACGTTTCTTGTAGTTGGCCACCAGGTTTGCACACATCTCAGGAGGGATTTTGTCCCACTCCTCTTTGCAGATCTTCTTCAAGTCATTAAGGTTTTGAGGCTGACGTTTGGCAACTCGAACCTTCAGCTCCCTCCACAGATTTTATATGGGATTAAGGTCTGGAGACTGGCTAGGCCACTCCAGGACCTTAATGTGCTTCTTCTTGAGCCACTCCTTTGTTGCCTTGGCCGTGTGGTTCGGGTCATTGTCATGCTGGAATACCCATCCACGACCCATTTTCAATGCCCTGGCTGAGGGAAGGAGGTTCTCACCCAAGATTTGACGGTACATGGCCCCGTCCATCGTCCCTTTGATGCGGTGAAGTTTTCTTGTCCCCTTAGCAGAAAAACACCCCCAAAGCATAATGTTTCCACCTCCATGTTTGACGGTGGGGATGGTGTTCTTGAGGTCATAGGCAGCATTCCTCCTCCAAACACGGCGAGTTGAATTGATGCCAAAGAGCTCCATTTTGGTCTCATCTGACCACAACACTTTCACCCAGTTGTCCTCTGAATCATTCAGATGTTCATTGGAAAACTTCAGACGAGCATATGTGCTTTCTTGAGCAGGGGGACCTTGCGGGCCCTGCAGGATTTCAGTCCTTCACGGCGTAGTGTTACCAATTGTTTTCTTGGTGACTATGGTCCCAGCTGCCTTGAGATCATTGACAAGATCCTCCCATGTGGTTCTGGGCTGATTCCTCACCGTTCTCATGATCATTGCAACTCCACGAGGTGAGATCTTGCATGGAGCCCCAGGCCGAGGGAGATTGACAGTTATTTTGTGTTTCTTCCATTTGCGAATAATCGCACCAACTGTTGTCACCTTCTCACCAAGCTACTTGGCAATGGTCTTGTAGCTCATTCCAGCCTTGTGTAGGTCTACCATCTTGTCCCTGACATGCTTGGAGAGCTATTTGGTCTTGGCCATGGTGAAGAGTTTGGAATCTGATTGATTGCTTCTGTGGACAGGTGTCTTTTATACAGGTAACAAGCTGAGATTAGGAGCACTCCCTTTAAGAGTGTGCTCCTAATCTCAGCTCGTTACCTGTATAAATAACACCTGGGAGGCAGAAATCTTTCTGATTGAGAGAGGGGTCAAATACTTATTTTCTCTCATTAAAATGCAAATCAATTTATAACATTTTTGACATGCGTTTTTCTGGATTGTTTTGTTGTTATTCTGTCTCTCACTGTTCAAATAAACCTACCATTATAATTATAGACTGATCATTTCTTTGTCAGTGGGCAAACGTACAAAATCAGTAGGGGATCAAATATTTTTTTCCCTCACTGTAAGTGTAATGACGGTGACACCTGCTGACCGGAAAGGGAATCACGGGTATGGGCACGGTTAAGTACCAACCAATCGGAGAAGGAGGTGGGGCTCGCTGAGATATTCTGGAAACCTGCTCGAAGGTTCCATGAGAGGGCGTGGCCGGAGGCGGGGCCTTATGCGTGGAGTGGGGGAGGGGAACAGGGCCATCCCTTTGCAAACTGTGCGCCCCACAATTCCATTCTTAATTAACTCCACCTGTATCAATTCAAAATGCCAGAAAAAGCTCGGTAAAGTTATTTAGATCAGCCACTCGGTTGTGTATTTTTTTACTTTTAACTGGTTATTTTAACAGTTTTAAAACAAAGTGATTATAAACATTTATTTTTTACTTAAACTAATGTCTAAACTAAACTTTTTTTTTAATTTTACCATGTAAGGCCCACTGAGCAATGTAGCTCTTTTTCAGACGCGACCTGGCCACAAATTATAGCTCAACGAAGTGGCTTATCACATGGAAATTTATAATAGCCAAATACTCTAAACTGATGTTTCTTAACGTAGACGTAAAATTTGAAGATCCGGAGAAAAATCCATGCAACTGTGGGAAGAGAGACATGCAAACTCCAAATATACAGCAGGGGTCAGTGGATCGAACTCACAACCTCCTGTAAACTAGGTGAGGTAGTTAACATCTTGCTACTGTGGTTCCCCACCACTTCTCACCAGGTCGGCCTCCTCCATCAGCGCGCGAGACAGTGTCAGGCCCTCGCGTGGTCTCCGGGAGCGAGCGGAGGCCGGTGCTGCGCCCGTGCTCCGTGGTGCTGCGACTGCTGCGCCTGGACGAGGGCCGCCGCCCTATGCCACGCCCTCGCGGCGGCGCCGATGACATCATGGCTACGCATGCTTGCGACCGCTGTCCGTACCGTGCGCGGAAGCGCCGGCAGCTCGTGGCGCACCTGCTTTCCCACACGGGCGAGAAGCCCTTCAAGTGTTCCACGTGTGGCAAGTCGTTTGCGAGCCTCAACAATGTCAGGAGGCACCACGACACCGTCCACCTCGACCTGAGACCGTTCAAGTGCCCGCGTTGCGGCAAGCGCTTTACCTCCCGGACGTTCTTGCGGATGCACATGCTCAAGCACACGGGGGAGCGGCCTTATGAGTGCGCGCGCTGTGGCAAGCTGTTCCGGCACAGGTCGTCGCTGAATGTCCATAAGCGCACGCACACGGGCGAGAAGCCCTTTGGTTGCGCCCAGTGCGGCAAGATGTTCTCCCGGCAGCACCACCTCCGCCACCACGAGCTCACCCACACGGGTGAGAAGCCGTGCAAGTGCCCATACTGCGGCCGCACGTTCTCCCACGCACACAACCTCAAGACCCACATGCGCCTTCACACGGGGGAGAGGCCACACGCCTGCTCGTTCTGCGCAAAGACGTTTACCGAGACGGGCACCTTGAAGAAGCATCTGCGCGTCCATACCGGCGAGAAGCCCTTCCGCTGTTCGGAGTGCGGAAAGGCGTTCGCGCTGGCGACCAGCCGCAATGTGCACGCGCGCAAGCACACGGGTGAGAAGCCCTACGGCTGCCCCGACTGTGGCCGTGCGTTCTCCACGTGCAGCGCAATGAGGAGCCACCAGCGGACGATGCACAACAGGAAAGGGGGAGCACCACGCGTGCGCTCAGTGCGGCAGGAAATTAACATGCCTGGGCCATCTCAACATGCATGAGCGCAGCCAGAAGCGGAACAAGAAGTGCCACCGCCCATGACAGGAGAGCTGAGGTCGCGGTGCAGGGCGGCCGCTAATGTGCGATCCCCATTGATATCGGCACTTGTGTATGACATTAATTATTACATTCCCTAAAATAGTAAATGAATCGCACCTGCGGCAGATGGCCCGTAGGCGTCCACTGCACAATTCTTAATTTCCACTTTCCTCTGTCCTGTGCCAATATGCTGAAGTCGTGCCACGTATTTCTGGCACCAATCTCTTAGATTGTCGTCAAGCCATTCTGTATCAGGTCTTCCTCTCTTTCCACATCCTTCCATTTTTATGAATAGCCCATTTTAAATGTTCTTGTTGTCCATCCTATATGTCCAAATAGTGCCAGTTTCCTTCTCATCACTGACTGCATCATCAAGTAGTCTTCTATGTGCAACCTTTTTCTTCAACGTTGGTCACTCTTTGGGTCCAGCTTACTGGCAGTTTCCTTCTGTAGCAATACATTTCAAATGCCAATGTCTCAACAATTGCACCCATATAATATTAACTATATCCATAAGGGGGTGCCTTTTATTAGTTTAGGGAATATAATTAATGTCGTCCACTCCGTGCCTGCCTGTAAAGGAGGAAAACAAGTGAGAGGAAACCGGGGAGAGGATGACTGAAGGGACAAGGTAGGGAATTACCGAATATAATGGAGAGATACTTCTATAACAGAGCAGTCTCCTCAATAGACAGAAGGTTGGGCTCAGAGAAAGAGGAAAGGACCAAAGGCCTTGGCAACTGGTCGACTGGAGTAGCCGCACCACACCGGTGCCTGAAAAACGTCACGACGCAGTCCTTAAAGAGCCGCATGCGGCTCCCGAGCCACAGGCTCCCAACCCATGCTCGAGCCACACTGCTCGCTAGAGCATCTTAGCACGGTCCTCATGGATAGGGAGGAGGAATCCTCGAGGAATCCGGTAGGGTTCGAGGACTGATTGCCTTTAAGGGTTGCTGCCCCCTCCCCACCGATCTATCTTCCTCCTGCTGCGTTTGGTTCGTTACTTCATTCGTGTTTGATTTTGTGTGTTGTGCTAGGCATCACACACAATACAAAGACAAATATCCCCTGCATAACCTGAACAGAGTGTTGGGGCAAGTGCTGTTTAGCGAGCAGCACCTATGAAGGGCTTGCATGGCATACAACACCACGCCCGGTCGCCAGTGGTGAGTCGACCCAGGGCAGGATGCCCAAGACCGGTTAAGATGATCATCGCCGGTGTTGGCCGTGAGTGGGAATTGAACTCGGGTCGCCGGGTTCGTATCGCAGCACGCTAAACTGCTACACCACTGCTCCCCCACACTCTGTCACTGACAACACGTCCCTCCCACCTGCCCCACCAGTCACACCCTCGCTCAATCAACACGCAGTCGCCAATTACTACCCTGTGAGTCACCGAACCTCCACAACACTCTACACCCTCCCTCATTTTCTTCCCCCAACATTCCGGCGTCTCTTCCACTTAATCAGAATGTCCTTATACTAGAGGATAAATCCGATGAGCTATAAAGCTCTTTTTCACAATGTCCAGTTAACATGTTCCCGGAGGGAGGGCTGATGATGGGCTGCGTCAACCTCGCAATCAACATTTGTTGAACTTGCAATCCTCCCGATGCGTGAGCCGCCCTGGGTGAGTGGGTGGGTGGGTGAGTGAGTGGGTGAGTGAGTGGGTGGGTGGGTGAGTGAGTGGGTGAGTGAGTGGGTGGACAGGCGAGGCTGGTGAGTGAGTGGGTGAGTGGGTGGGTGAGTGAGTGGACAGGCGAGGCCGGGTGGGTGAGTGAGTGGACAGGCGAGGCCCTGGACATTCACCCGCCCACGGATGACCTCATCACTGTAATTGCTTTCACAACACGCGGCGTGTCTCCCGTCTACCCTGGGCACGTGCTTGGTGTCACAATGAACGGGGACCCCCCCCCCCCATCATCATCACTCGGACTAATATTGTTAAATTAACCACGAATTATTTAGATTATTTTGCTGCTGTAAATTATCCATGTGATAAGCCACTTTACTCAGCTATCATTTGTGGCCATTTCGCTTCTGAAAAACAAGTTAATACCTTAGTGGCCTTTAACTGGCAAGTTAAAAAGAATCAGTTTTATAATATTTTTTCGTGATTTGTTTACCTTTCCTATATTTTTTACTCCTATTATGTTGTAGCTTTCTGACCGTTCCCCCCCTGGACATCCGTGAAAAAGAGCTTTACAGCTCATCGGATTCCTCCTGCAGTGTTAATAAACATTCTGATTCTGAATTCCCTCAAGTGTTTGCGTGCAGTGCTTAAGACGTTATGAAGTTCAAGACATACCCGGGTTGGAACTATTGTAAAGAAGAATATTGAGCAGAACGCGGGTAGTGCCTTAATCTGATGTTTATTAACCCTTTCCCGTCCAGAGACGTCTGCAAGTTGCAGGGTGGGTGTCCCCTTCACCGCTGAATCTCGGAACGCGCAAGCGGCTCGGCGTTAATTTTATTTAGAGAGGTCCAGCGCCGTTGTTTTAAAGACACCCCTGTAGAGAGCCGTGCGATACGACCGTGCCGGGGGAAGGACAACAAACTAAACACAAGAAGCAATTCTAAGGAAATGTTCTCAATTTAGTATAGTGGTGTAGTGTATAGTTGTGTACAGTGTAGTATGTAGTGTATAGTCTAGTACGCGTTATGAATTTGACGCCGATGTTGTAACCGTCGGAGATAATTGCAACAACGACGACCGGGCGGGCGGTCATTCCTTGTGCCGCCACGGTCACGCATTGGGATTGGCAGTGTAATCCGCCCCCGGGCGTTGAGTGCGTTAACGAGGAGGCCCTTGTTAGGAGCGCATGGAGGTAATGCACGAGCCAGAGCTCTCATTTAATCACCAGCTCCTCGACTCCTATTTGTGGCAGTGACCTCACATTGGCGCTTTGTGGGCTCACGCGCACGCAATAACCATTGTGCCAGGCTGGGTGCACCTTGAGCCCATGTGGGGGTGGTGAAGGGTGCGACGTAAAACTAGAGACTACATATCTGGTCTGTGCGTGTGTGCTATGAAGAAGGGGCATTTCCCGAAATGTCACCTGCTATATACTTTTTTCAGGTAACACGGAGTTGTTGACGAATCCGTGTTGAGTTTATTTGACTTAACGATTGCACCACGTGTGCGTGTGCTTTTGACTGCGCTAGCTATCAAAGATTCCCCAAATAACCGGTAACAGACTGTTGGGGCAAGTGCTGTTAGCGAGCACGAGGGGGTAGGTGGGTGGGCAGCATCGCACCCGGCCGCCTTTGTCTTCCGAGTGGCAGTGTGTACACAACGCCCAAAGGTACTAATTTGAGGCTGAGTCAACCTAGGTACAGGCCAAAGACCGGTTCAGATAATTGTCACAGGTGTTGGTGGTCGCGAGCGGAAATCGAAATCACCACCGCTCCACCACATCGCCGTGTTGACCTCACATGGTCACACAGGCGGTTGGGGAACCCCCCACATGGTCAAACAGGCGGTTGGGAAACCCCCCACATGGTCAAACAGGCGGTTGGGGAACCCCCCACATGGTGACATAGGCGGTTGGGGAACCCGCCACATGGTGACACAGGCGGTTGGGGAACCCCCCACATGGTGACACAGGCGGTTGGGGAACCCCCCACATGGTCAAACAGGCGGTTGGGAAACCCCCCACATGATCACACAGGCGGTTGGGGAACCTCCCGGAGCCGCACGTGGCTCTTTTAAGGACCGCCGCTTCCGTGGCGTTATTCACACGCGATTGCGGCTCTTGAAATATTGCGATGGGGTTGTTTTTTTGTCGTTTAGGCAACATTCGAAATCAACGTCTCTTCTTGTTCATTGGGCTGTATGAACCCCCCTCTGGCCACCTTGGACACCGCGTGTGAGACACAACGAGGTGCCCGCGACGTCCGGTGACGGCCCGCCACAGTCATTGTCATGAGCGACCGATCAGCTATCGGACGTGGTGGGGACAGCTCGAGCTGAGAGAGCGAGGAGGGTGTGAGAAGGGGTGTCTGTGTGCGAATGTCTGTGAAGAGTTGTCCATACCTGGGCAGTGTGCTCATGACCAGCTCCCGTATGACAGCAGAGGTCTCACTCCGAATCAGTCGAGCGGCATTATATTTTCATCGGCTGCGTAACGCTGTGTGGAAGCTACCTGGTCTGTCGCTCCACACGAACCTTCGGGTCTTTTCGGCCACTCTCATGCCCTACCTTTTCTATGCTGGCGAAACGTGGAGCCCCCGAATGGAACATGTTCGCCGGTTAGAAACATTTAGGCTGGCTTGCCTACGATGCATCTTGGGTTTAACCAGGCTGAATTGTGAGCTCACAAATCCTTGAAATATATGGACACATTCCCATCAGTAAGCTTCTCTGGCAGGCAAGGCTGCGTTGGCTGGGTCATGTAGCCCGCATGCCCAGCCACCGCATGCCTAAACAGCTTTTGTTCGGCCGAATAGAGGGGGCTGGACGGGCGCGGAACGGGCTAGAGAAGAGATAGAGTGACGTGGTACAGGATGATGTGGAGCTGAGTGGACTTGCTGATGACCGGTACCAGCGGTGTCAAGATCGACCTCTGTGGAGGAGGCTCGTGAAGGACGCCACTGGGCAGTTGGAGGCAGTCGCCCTCCAGCAACAACGGAAGGCGGAGGAGCGACGCTCACAACAACGAGTGGAGCGCCGGTCGGTTAAAAACACAGGTTGGCACAGTAGGGGGCACGTGTGGCGCATCGGCCAGTCATCTCCGTCAGTCGACCCATGGCACCTGCCACCGGGAATTCGACACTTCACGTGGCCTTCACGTGCACATAGCCTGGAACAAGCGCCGTGGTGACGTCACCGCCAGTTCGTGGCGAATGACTGTTGCGAGTGTGCGAGGGTGTATCTTTGCGTGTGTATCTGTGTGTATGAGGGAATCTGTGTGTGTCTGTGTGGATGTAGGTAAAATCAGCCTCAAATGAGTACCTGGTGCGATGTGTAAACATCGCCACTAGGGAGACAAAGGCGGTCGGGCGTGGTGCTGGCCACCCACCCCCTCGTGTACCGTTCCGTTCTTCATAGGTGCTCGCTAACAACACTTGCCACAACAGTGTTCCAGGCTACACGAGGGATCTGTGTCTCTTTGTCTCTGTGTGTGTTTGTGTGTGCGCGTGTGTGGGGAGGGGAAGTGAGGCGAACCCAGGGACTCGAGGGACTCGAGTTGGATTCCCACTCACCGCCACCAATAGCAGTGGCAATTATCTGAACCGGTCCTGGGTCTCTCCTAGACCGACTCAGCATCAAATGACGACCTGGTGCAGTGTGTGAACATTGCCACTGGGGAGACAAAGGCGGTCGGCCTAAGTGCTGGCCACCCACTCCTTCATGTGCCGTATCGGCCTTTGGTGATGAACGTCTTTCGCACGGTGCGTAGCCAACCGTGATAATCGGAGGTGCGGTTTTCATTCGGTCGTCGCCAACAGCAATTGCCCCAGCAGTCTGTCACAGGTGACAGAGGTGGATCTTTGTCATTGTGTCACGTGCGCGTGTGTTTATGACGAATCGCTCATTGCCCGAGCGTGACTCGCAGCGGCTATTTGAGTCTCGCCGTCATCCGCGCCCACCACGGCTCACGGCAGCTGCTGCCCTCGTGCTTCGCTGAGTTCACTCCTCTGCGTGCGTCGCGCCGAACACAGACCATCGTCTGCGTCTCCATCACCAGCGCCAATATCACCAGCCAGCATCGCTGCTCATTCCACACCGCCTCATCTGCTGTACTCCTTTCAAAGGTGCTCGCGAACATCACTGTCATAGCTGCTCGCGACTGCAGAGCTTGGGCGAGGGGTTTAACATCTTGCCGCGGTGGGCCAGGAGATGTTACATCCCTCGCCTGGTATACAGGAGGTCGTGGGTTCGATCCCGACTCTGACGCCTGTTGTACATTTGCAGTTTGTGTGTCTCTCTCTCTCTCACCGTAGTCGCGTGGATTTTTCTCCGGATCGTGCGGTTTTCCCCTGCACATTTATAAACATTCGTTTCGAGTGTTTGGCTGCTGCTATAGAATTTCCACGTGATAAGCCATTTCGCTGAGCTATCGTTTGTGGCCAGGTCACTTCTGAAAAAGATAACGATACAGCTCAGTGGGGCCTTACCTGGGGAAATACAAAATATAGTTTAGTTTTAGTTTACTTGTACAGTCTGTTAAGGCTGTACGGGGAGAGATATTTTTTGCTTTGTGTATGCGAGCGTTATATAAGTGTAAATTATTGTATGCATGCGTGTTAATGTATGGGCATGATTCGGTAGTGTAGCGGTTTATCAGGCTGCGCTACGAACTCGGCAAACAACACCAGTGATGATCTAAACCGGTCCTGGACCGCCCCTAGGTCGACTCAGCCTAAAACGAGTACCTGGAGCAGTGTGTAAACATCACCACTGGGGAGACAAAGGCGGCCTGGCGTAGTGTTGGCCACCCACCCCCTCGTGTGTTGTGCCGGCCATCACAGGTGCTACTCGCTAACAGCACTTGCCACAGTCTGTTCAGGCTATACGAGGGATCTTTGTCTCTTTTACGATGCGCGTGTTGCGTTATAAACAGAGCTGGACAGCAGCTGCAGCAGGAGCTCAGCCCGATGCAAGTGCGAGTGGAGTTCGCGTCGCCGCCAGTGACGAGGCAAGGGGTGAGTGCAGCAGAGGGCATGGTGCCGTGTGACCACAACAGACGCGAGGGCTTGTATGTATGTGTGTGTATGTTGAACTTATTTTTCACCGTACGTAGTCAACCGTGCTAATTGGAAGTGCGGGGGAAGGACAGCTATCTAAATACAAAAATCAGTTAAAAAGAAATGAGATTCAATGTAGATGGTTTAAAACTGCGGAGCTCTAGTGGATTCCTATTATCGGGAAGAACGTTTCCAGACGGTCGCAGATGCGCATTTGAAAGCGTGCGATTCAGTCACCGTCTTTGTTTGATGGCCACCCAGAAGCTACTGCTGCGAGGATGACCGGAGTTCGCGTGATGTTGGATTATGCTCCTTGACGAGATCAGCAAGGCATTGTGGTTCATTCGTGGCAAGCAGTCCGTGTGTGTGTAACCAGTCAGACCTTATACAATGTATTCGTCCGGAAGCTGGAAGCCAATGCAGGGGGCTACTCATGAAGAACGGTCCCCTATCCACGCAGATGAGCCAGAGGCGATGTTGCTTTGGGGAGACCGCTTGTCAAGCCACTGTCTCGAGCAGGTGTTTGCAATCTGCGGCTCCGGAGCGGCAGGTTAACTGATTAAA